AAAAGAAAAAGAGAGAGAGAAAGAGGCGAGAGAGGGATAAAGAGAAAGAAAAAGTGAAGAACATATAGAAATAAATTTATTAAAAAAACGTGAGTGAATTTGTAGATTAAAAAATTTAGGGTATAAGGGCAGTTTAGGGATAAAAAAATAATTAAGGATGTATGTCATATATTATTTCAAATTAAGGATTTAATTAAAATGTTGGATTTGAACTTGTCATTTAGTTCAAATTAAGTTTCATTTGAGGGACTCCTAGCATATTACCCCTTCATTTAATGTTCGGCCCAACAGATTCATTTTATGGTTGAGCCGAATATTAAATGCGTTGAAAATATACCAATCGGAGTATTTTTTCTCATAAATACCAATTACTGAAAAACGTTTTATGTTGAGTCTCTATACGTTTTTTCTTTGTCTGCACTCCCTACTTTTAAATTTCACTTACACTTCACTCCCTACCCCATCTGAAATGTCTGGAATACCCTTCTCTTTAATACCAAATTACACCCGCCCATTTTATTCCTCTACAGAACGCGTCTTTTGTAAACACGGTTTTTTTGATATGTTTTTGTCAAACGATAAGTCTATTTATGAATACGTTTTTCGTGAACATGTGCCGAACAAAAACGTTTTCCAGATACGAAAGTCGATTCGAATTTGAATAAACCCAATGTTGTGAATACCCGCGAAGAAAAATTAGCTGACGACGAGAAAAAAAGAAAAGAGAAAAAAGGAAGAAGAAGCTATACGAAAATACTCCAGAGTCATCTTCAACCTCGAAGCACATAAAATACGAAAATTAACCTTCTTTGCAGGTTCGGTTCTTGCCCAGAAACATTTTCATGTTTGTTTTGAAAAATTAAGGAAACCCAACTTGAAAAACCGTAAAATTACACAATAAAATTTGTGCTTTTGTTGCTGAGTAAAACACCTTCACAAAAACGTCTTGTTTTTGGTCGAACTGAACGATTTTGAGTAAGTGGATGGGTTTTGTGATTACACATGTTTAGTATGTTGTAAGAGACATGTGCGTTCATACCCAGACCCATTTGGTCAAAAAACTCTGTCTTTTTCGTATTTTCGAGTTTGATTATTAGATTTTTAGCTGTGGTAGTGGACTAAATTACAGGTAATTTGCGTATTCCCATAGAATTTATTTAGTGTTTAGTTACGTACTTATTCGTATATTTTGTGTTGCTTTTTGTATTCCCAAAAATGGGTCCAAAAAAACAGTCGGTTATCAACAAGAGGAAAAGAGAAAATGAGACTCGATGTTCCCCTCGTCATTTCATGAAAACTATGACCACAGTAAAGGCAAATATGGGACCCTTACAACGTGAGGCATTGAGTTCAAATCCATTTGGGCACTATATAGACATGCCCAAATTGGGGCACAGCTTTGCAAAGGTACATAATTTGTTGATGAGATATAGTGTTGATTCCAATGAATTTCAGTTCGGGGATAGAAAAAGTCCGATTGCTGTCCCGTTTGATCCGGTAGAATTTTCTACAACGCTGGGATTATACAATGACGGACAGGCAATTGACATCAATCTGAAAACCGACGCCTCTTGTCCTATTGTTACTAACCTCTTCGATGGAGATCTTAAAAATGCGAACCGAAATCGTATTGCTACTATGCTGGAAGAGTATGCATATAATGATGAAAAAGTGGAAGACTTCATTCGTTTGTAACTGTCTTTTGTTTCCAATCCCTAGCCGAACATGCCTCCATCTTATTTATCATTACATTAATAAAGTGGAGCATATAGGATTGTTTGCATGGGGGATGGCTGTGCATGAGTATTTGGTTAGCCAAATGTCGCTTCACGTTGTTGATTCCGGGCCATATTTCAACGGCTGCACTATTGGACTATTGGTACGTTTGTTGTACTTCATATATACTTAATTTATAGGACAATCCATTGATGAGTTAGAATTGTGCAGGCTTGGGTGCATGAGAGGATACCTTCCTTGGCGATCTAATATCTGTCGACATACGTCCTCGGCTTCTACGGTGGAGGGACAGTACGATTCCCATTGTAAGAGAAGAAGTTCTTGGGCGATCTAATATCTGTCGACATACGTCCTCGGCTTCTACGGTGGAGGGACAGTACGATTCCCATTGCAAGAGAAGAAGTTGAGTCAACATTCAATGCAATAACGAGGTTTCGGGTGAAGAATTTTTATGCATTCCCAGAAGAGGAGAAATTTGGTGGCCGAAATACATTTGCAGTTGGTGATTCGTCGATGGATACCTCTCGTCTTCAGGATAAAGAAAACCAAATTGCATTGTTGAAGAAAACCATCAAAAAATTGAAGCAAAAGATAAAGAAGAAGACATTCGAAAGAAGGAAAAAAGTAACAAAGGTCAAAAGAACAGCAAGAAAAAAGAAAGCCAAGGATAGAGTAGATCGGGAGGAGGTCACTGAAGATCAAGAAGGGGATGTGGTACAAGAAAACCAGGAGGGAGACAGCGAAGAAAAGAAAGAAGAGGAAAAGGGTAACGGTGGAGAAGAAGCGGAGAAAGCGGGGGAGATGGTCACCGAAGATGAAGGGGACGGGGTACAAGAAAACCAGGAGGGGGAAAGAGCAGAGGACGAAGTCAAGAAAGAAGAGGAAAAGTACAACGATGGAGAAGAAAAGGAAAAAGCGGAGGAGATGAATAATCTTGACACCACCACACGTGTAAGTACATTATGCAGTTAATACGTTGTCATTGTGAATCATATACGTCTGTTTTATACAACTTATACGTTTCCTTTGTAAAACAGAACCTATGTGCGGAAATACTCTATGATTATTCAGATGATGAAAATGAAAAAGAAGATGATAACGGGGAACAGACACTGGTTGTCTACAGTCCTCCATGGTAAGCACAATGCTCATACTGCTGATAAACTGATTTAATACGTTTTCATAGCATGCATATATGGTTTTGCTGTACACGATATACTTCGATATTGTACATGATATACGTTTTCATTATGACAGATATACATTTATATTCTAAAACATATACTTGTTCACTGTAAAACTATACGTGTTCTTTGTAAAACACATACGTCTGCGTTATAAATTTGCTTTGTTAAACAGAACCTATGTGCGGAAATACTTCATGAAGGCGAAGATGATGAAAATGATCATAACGGGGAACAGAGGAATGAGGACGATGGAGATAGACAGGCACTTGTTGTCTACACTCCGTCATCCATGATTAAGAGGATCAGACAGAGAGGTGACCGCGTGGTGAAGAGAAAGGAGCTTGATTTTGTCACTCCGAGATCCACCAAAAGGCAACGGAGAGAACGTCGACGTGGACGGGAACATGGTAGGGGGCGCGTTAGTCCTTTATCAGTTGAAATTGCAGATGTCATGGATGATTCACTTACACCGTATAAAGGGCAACTCGGTTACACAGGGCGGGTTGAGATTCAAGATCGGAAAAGAGCAGTCATTGATGAAATTTATCAATTAATAATGCGAGGTGACTTGT